AGCATAAGATAAAATTAATGATATCAAGTATTCTCACCTAAATTAACTGTACACTGTAATGTTCCAAAGTTTGCAAGTGTGAAAAGCAAACCAAATCCAGGAGAGCAGACAATTTGTTTCAGTGGTTTCCAAATCTGCAGATTGCTACCTCTTACAGGTCCAAAATTAACTGCATAATGTTGCAAAATGAAGATGCTGCAATTCCTTCTCATTTCTTGGGGAATCTACAGAAACAGGCAAGAAAAAGTAATTAATTACTACTTTCTAAAATACATTGTTTAGAAGTTGTCTATAGAAGCAAGTTATAAATGTCTAAAAGATAGAGGTTTCTGGGATCTCATTTACTATTTTTAATTGATAGTTACTTACCAGTTCACTGTCATGAATCCTCAGCTACAGCACACTGTCTTCTCTTCCAATGGAAAAAAGGGGCTTTCTTTAGGACCATAAGTACACATCTACTATCTGGAGCAAATGGGGACTGATACAACTTATTTAATGGCATTTGGTGTTTTCTAATGTTACTATAAAATGAAATCAATGANATATAAATTATAGGTTTAATAAATAGATAAAATAAATTAGTTTGTTTTAAGCTAACTTTTACACTAACTGAAAGGTCATTTCCACATTAATTCTGCTGTTCTGCTTTTGCCACCCCTGAAAAGTTATTTAAGTTAGCAACTTAAATTAAGTTACAAATATCAAAGAAATTGATGTTTATGGGGCCTTATTTACTACTTTTAATTAATACTGTTACTTACCAGTTCATTGTCAAAAATCCTTCGTTTAGCAACAACACACTGTCTCTGTCCACAATGGAAGTCACATTCATGCTTTTTTTAGGAGCATAGGTACAACTATGCTTTAGAGCGAATGAAGACTAATACAATCAATCCTCCATAACTTAATGGCATCAGCAGTTTTTCTAATGTTCCTATAAAATGAAATTTTATGAAAGTGTTCAAATACAATCAATTTAGCCTCCCTTTTTCCTCCCCTTTTCTCTGTTAGTATCAAATAGATATGCTATATATATTTAATAGCATGCTTGCTCACCTTAATTATCTACAGGATCCTTCAAGATGACAAGTTAACAGCTAGAACGCCACAATATAACTTGGTTTTTCAGTAGCATCAAAATGAACTTGAATTACCTCTTCAATCTGTAGCAATGGAGAAAAAACGAATAAACTACAGTAATAAGTAAATAAATCATGAAATAGAATAAAAACTCGCGCCGGAAAGCAAGTAAAATTGTAAAATTCAAAAAATTCAAAATGGCGATGTGCGGCGACTGCACCTTAATATTCAAAACAAAATCTATGGACAGTTGGACAGCATGAAGCATCATTAATAAAATTTATCACCATAGACATGGATCACATAGATAATTCATCATGAATTTATTGATGCATAATGTTGCGTTATTCGTAGTTCAAAACGATTGGTATTTTAGTCATAGATAAGTTGTCAGTGGAGCATATGAACTACGGGAGACCTCTAAAAAAAGCTATAACCTACAAAAATTGCATTTTTCAAAATGCTTTCAAGATGTAGATGCACGAAAGTTTTTCATAAAATAAAGTTTTTTACATGTAAAGGTTGCAATAACTTTACCACTTCAATTTATAAAAGTAACGAATTTGATGTACAGTTTTCTAATGGGTAACAACGAAGTGCCTAATAAGCTACAGCTTGTGAGTTTATCATCATTTGTTTTAGTCGAAATTTGAAAATAACTACTGGAAAATATGCTCGGCTTTCTGATGGTTGTGCTGTAGGAACTTTAGGTGATACATCAGTAATGGTTACAGCTGTCTCTAAAACGAAACCGTCTTCAAATAACTTTTTACCGCTAACAGTCGATTATCGTCAAAAGTCTGCAGCCGCAGGTAGAATTCCAACGAATTTTCTTAGAAGAGAATTAGGTCATACAGAGAAAGAAATTTTAACATCAAGAGTAATTGACCGCAGTCTAAGACCATTGTTTGATTCAAATTTTAATTATGAAACACAAATAATATGTAACATGTTAGCAGTTGATAGTGTTAATAATCCTGAAGCAACTGCCATAAATGCAGCTTCAGCAGCATTAGCTGTTAGTGATATACCTTGGAAGGGACCTGTTGGTGCAGTCCAAGTAGGTTTAATAGATAATGAGATTATTATTAATCCAACCAGAAAAGAGCTACAGTTATCCTTGTTAAATTTGATTATTACAGCAACTAAACATAATTTGGTAGTTATGCTTGAAGGTCAAGCTGACAATATTCTACAACAAGATTTATTAAAGGCAATTAAACTAGGTGAGTTTTTAAAGATGGTTTCATTAGTCACAAACTGCATTAAAGTATACTTCAGTAAATAAAGCATAGCAAGTTTATTGATTCCTAAAGGATGTGCTACTTCATTTTAAGACACAAAACCTGCATAAAATTGTAACTAAACCTATAAAAAATAATGTGGTTGTACTAACAAAGTGATTAATATTTGAGAGCGAATTTTCTAATGTTACATATTAAAAGAGGTAACATTATTTTAAGCTTAAAGTTTTACATGTTGTACCTGTTCTTTCTTCTAATTAATTACCTGTTTGCAACTGCTACAATGCCTCATACAGCTGTTATTCTCCTATTCTATAAATATTTTAATGTCCTTTTAATTTTTACTATTTACAAATTGAGTTTGATTTCAGGTACAAAAGAAGCTCAAAGTATAATTGTGACAATAGAAAAGATGCAAAAGCAATTGGGGAAACCTAAACGAGAAATCGAAATATCACCATTGCTTTCTGAAGAAGTGATTGAAATTCTCCGTTCATTATCTCAGTCGCGATTAAAAGAAGTATTTACAAATTATAATTATGATAAATTACAACGTGATAATGCGGTTACGGTGGTAAGAAACGACGTACTTGAAAAAGTGAAGCAATCTTTTCCAGAAGCAGACTCCAATTTAATTTCGGAAGAATTTAATAATTTTACGAAAACGGTGTTTAGAAATTTAGTATTTAGTGAACAAAAGCGCTGTGATGGTCGTGATTTTGATGAACTTAGGAACATTTCGTGTGAAGTGAATTTATATAAACCTCTACATGGTAGTGCGTTGTTTCAAAGGGGACAGACTCAGGTATTGTGCACTGTAACACTCGACTCGCCTGAGAGTGCATTACGTCTTGATTCCGTGGCTATGTTAACAAGGTAAAATTTGAATTTTGAACCAACGGAAATTTTTCCATAATCATAATTTTCTTTTTCAGCGGATTGAAATCTAAAAATTTTTTTCTTCACTATGAATTTCCCCCATTCGCAACGAAGGAAACAGGAAAAGTGGGACCATTAGGTAGACGAGAGACAGGTCATGGAGCCTTGGCTGAAAAAGGTCTCAATAGTATTGTGCCACATGATTTTCCTTTTACCATACGCCTTACTTCTGAAGTATTAGAATCAAACGGTCAGTACACAACAAAAAGTTGAATTGAATTTGAATTGTTCGTTATTTAAGGATCTAGTTCGATGGCAAGCGTGTGTGGAGGTAGTTTAGCTCTTATGGATGCCGGTGTCCCAGTGTCTGCTGCTGCGGCAGGAGTAGCGATAGGGCTTGTTTCGAAATTTTCTAATGACGACACAAAGCATATGGAGGACTATATACTTTTAACTGATATTCTTGTAAGCATGTAATTGAAATTTATAAAGAAAATAAAAACACTTGGTATTTGTTGTGTTGGGACAAAAATACCAAGTGTTTTTATTTTCTTAATATTAAATATTTGCCACCAAGAGTCAAACCAGAAATCAATTTCGTAATGAAATTTATTTATTTAACAGTTTATCAAATACCTCTTTGCAAAAATATTTTTGATAAACTAAATTCACAGACGGCAATTTAACCAGTTAAGTAAAAGCAATAGCGAATTTTTGGTAGGGTATAGAAGATTATATGGGAGATATGGACTTCAAAATAGCGGGCACTAAAAAAGGTTTAACAGCTTTACAAGCAGATATTAAAATTCCTGGCCTTCCTCTAAAGGTCGTTATGGAAGCAATCCAAAAAGCTACGGATGCAAAATCTAAAATTTTAGATATAATGAAGGATTGTCTAGAGAAACCGAGGTAAATGATTATTCAAGAACGTGTTATGTTACATACCTATTTACATATTTTGTTTAAGGGCAGAAAAGAAAGAAAACTGGCCTGTTATCAAAACTATTGAAGTTGAGCCTCATAAAAGATCGAAACTAGTAGGGGTCGGTGGTATCAATTTGAAAAAGCTTTTATATGAAACGGGAGTTTCTGTAAGTTTTTAACATTCAAATTTGTTGTTATTAAATAAAATAATTTTATACTTATGTAGGTGACACAGGGTGAAGAAACCAAATTCACATTATTTGCTCCAAATCAACAGGCAATGGACGAAGCCGAAGAAGTTATAACGAAATTATTAAATACAGAAAAAGTTCCTGAATTAGATTTTGGCGGAATTTACACCGCCACAATAGTAGAAATTAGAGATATTGGGGTAATGGTAACCCTTTATCCGGGAATGCCGCCTGCTCTATTGCATAATTCACAGCTAGACCAAAGAAAAGTAAGTTATTTAAATTCTTAATGTTTTTATGCATTTTGCATTTACTCTGTATGTGTCTGTGCGTAAATAAACGACACGCAGAATTTTAAATAATCTTATCTTTAAAAAATTAATGATATGATAAAAATCCAAACTTAAATAAGCTTATGAAGACTTATATCATGAATAAAAGAAGAAACTTGCCGAATGTAAAGGATAAATCTGGAAGAGATATGTTGACAGTTTATTCTAAATTATGATATTCAGTGCGCCTGATTCGCTTTTTTTCTGATTGTAGGGGGGTGGCAAAGACCTAGAAAATAGCAATAAGTTGGTGTGTGTATGCAATATTTGTTTATTTAAAATGTTGTGTAAAAAATGTCTAATATGTAATTTTACCTGTATATCTATTTGACATGTTTCTCGAGAATTAAACTGTTAATTTCAATTGTATTTTTTTAAAAATATATTTACAGGTGGCTCATCCATCAGCGTTAGGATTAGCGGTGGGTCAGCAAATGCAAGTGAAATATTTTGGAAGAGATCCAGTTTCTGGTTTAATGCGATTATCAAGAAAAGTTCTGCAAGCGGCTGCCAAAGCTTGACTTATTTTGAATGTTATATTATACTTAAGATTAATTAGACTTGCATGTAAATAAATATTGATTTAATAAAAAGATATTTTACTAATTAGATCGTGTTTGTTGTTTAATAAAGTAAGGCATTCGCGATTAAATTCATGTAGACATTAGTTTTGATGGTAAGTATAGAGACGTTTTAAAATGAATATATGGGTACATATTTTATTTATTTTATAGTAATTGCACAAGTTGAAAGTTTTAAAAACTTATAAAAATGAAAATAAATAGATAATAATACTTTACGCAATTATGATTAAATAGGAATTATTTTTTTCTATTCATAATAATACCCACAATTTGAAATAGGCGAAACACGTTTCCGTTGTGTATTGGTAATTAGGGTGCCTTTCTTTATCTATATCTAATTAGTAAAAAAATAAAATCGCCTTGATTATTCACAGTAATTTATGGTGGCACTGTACGTAAGGTACAAATAACCAATAAAAGTAGTGTCTACGTTTATTAAGAGTGCGGGATGACTGTTACACGGCTCACACGAGCGTAATTAAAACGAGCGCCATCATATGAGTACCTACATGTACTTTAGTGCGAAAACATTGGATTTCCTAACTGAGTTATTAAGTTATTTTTCTACCTGAAAAAAAAAATAATCATTGCTGATTATTCTCATATACATATGAAACTAAATTCTGTGTTTAATTTAGTGTTTTTGGAACGTAGAACACGGATTTTGTTATATGATTTTATTTCATTGAAACTGGTTCGTTCGATGTACAATCTATTTCAAGTTAAAAATTCAATTAATAATAAATAAGATTTGTAATGTTTTTCTAAAAATAATAAACGTATGTACAACGTAAACATGGAATTAATGAAACATGAACTTCGTACAATGGGACTGAACTGGAACAGCACGTTTTTAAAGTTACTAGCATGTGAAAAAGAAGGCTTCTTTCAAGTGATAGAGATTGAAGCAGCTGTATTATTAAAGAGGTTTGCTGAGGGGCTTCACAATAATGAAGAGGTTAATCGATACCATGTAATTTCAAGGCGGCTGAATAACTTTAACGTGTTTACAAAAGCTCTCATCAAACAATGTCAACCGTTTTGTTTATAAAACTCATTCACGATCGAGAAAAAACCTTACAACAAAAAACAAAAAGTAAAATCGCTTAACAAAAGTAAATTTTGTCACACGATTTAGTCCAATAACACTTTTTCTTAAGTATTCTTAGGCTGAGGGTTCCGCATTCAAACAGTTCTTGCGGAACCCAATGATTGTAGCAGCATTGATTCTCTGTTTGATGTTTGAAATCATATTTCAGTTAAAGTTAAATAAATAGCTTAGTATGCGGACTAACACTTAATTAAACTGGGCTTCATAGGAAGCATTTTATTAAAGGTCAAAATCAGAAAAAAGGGACATTAATACTCACCCATTTGAGAAGTTTAGTGTCTTGTAACTTAGTCGTAAAGAAAATGAAATTGCGGTAACATACTTTGCATTTTGATTATTGAAGTAGATTGAGAGAAAACGGAAACGCTATAAAAATTCCTATAATGGGGAAAAGCCAAGTGATCAAATATTATTAAAAAGCTTTGTTTGGTGTTTTCTTTTGGATATATATTGGAATTTATATAGTATTACTCCTTTATGAATAACTGTATACAATCGTAATTAAATTTTTAAAACATTTCAACAATAATTTTTTATGATTAGTATTAAACTGATTTTAATGATAGAAGCCAGATACTCGAAACAACATTCACGTTTTACCACGCAGAATAGTATTTGATTACATACATGCACACAGATAATATTAAAAGCTCGTAATATAGGTAATTACAATTTTATTTAATGAAAGCTTCGCAACAAAACACAACGAAAAATATAACATGCTGCATTTTCGTTGATTAAATTTCCGAATCTTTTATTGACCAAACGTAAATGCGCAGTTTTGTTTGTCAGTTTACGTAAATTTAAAGGATTATTCGAAAAGGGCAACCCTAAATATTATTTTTTAAATTTCCATTGGGTTTAAAACCCACACGTAATGGTCATTTCATATCAATATAATCAGACCGGAAACATTTCCATTTACCAATGTGTAGACTTTTCAACCACTGGATCGGAAAAAGGGTCATTCTGGTCCTGTTACGCCTTAATATTTTCAATTATTATTAATATATGTATTATTAGTTAAATACATTACAATTATTTTTCTCTCTGTATTCCAGTTATGTTTTATTTCGTGTCAAAATTGTAAATTTCCGCGTTAAAATTTGACTTTAATTTTTTTCTTTTAAAGATACCTAAAGATACGAATATAATCAATCGCCAGCCAATACTCTTAAGCCAATTATAAAAGCGTGGTGGGGTGTCGTAAACCCAGATATGTTTTGGCGAAAATATTTTTTTGCGAAATCAAATAATTTCTTGTTCTCTTTAATCAATTTTTAAAAATTTGATGGGCAAAATTTCGCTGTTTACAGTGACTTAAGCCAATTTAAACTTGTACATAGAGAGAAAAATCTTGTAAACTTTACCATGCTGTCTCATAATCTGCGTGCCTTTCATTGACTGAAAAATTACCATGCTAGTACAGCAAAAATTCGTATGCTTTCTAGTAAAGTTTATAAGGTTCTCTTACGAAAATTGTTTGACTTATATTGAATTTTATTAGTACAGGTTTCTTGCACCCGCTTTATAGTGACGAGCATGATAATTTTTCTAAGATTTTCTTATTCGTGTATGATATAACAGCGCTGTTAAGTGTCGCAAGGTGACATGTACTTTGACTAACTAAAACGTGTTTTTGCGAAATCGTCAGAATTAGTTTATAGTTTCCAATTTGAACACGCAAAATTTCTCTCATTACAATGATTCAAGCTAATTTAATTTTGTATTGTATAAAAACGCAGCAGGGCGTCGTAAAATGACATACATCTTGATGAAAATGTGTTTTTTTTTTTAATAAAAGATGATTCATAATTTAGGGTTCTTTTTAATCAATTTTTAAAACTGGATGGGCAAAATTTTGCTGTGACTGAAGCCAATTTTAATATGGCGACATGTAGGTATTTTAACTAAAATATATTATCGGGAGTGTTTTTTTTTTCGAATTTGATCTGAATGCACAATATTTCGCTTTCAACGTAGCACAAGTCAATTTAAATAACATTAAAAGCAGGATAATCAGTAATCAGGTACCCTAATCAAAAATTGATAAAATTCAATTCCGTCTGCAGACGACAGTATCTTTTACATCGGACAAGGATTACCTTGTATATTTAACTGACGTCAACTGAAAACAAATCTGAGATTTACTGTAATCCTGTTTGAACAAAAAATATTAACGGAAACGCCATCCTATTGAGTCTATTCAGTGATAAATATTTCTTGAATATATTCATTATGAAAAGCTTTCCCAGCGTCGACCCCAATTCAACGACGTATTAATGTATTTTACACCTTTACTGTATGAAAACACATTCTAAATCCTCGATTTATAATAAAATAATTAAAAAAGGAACTGAAACATAACTGGACGTTAAAACATGCTGTAATTAACGAAGTCTACGTTGATGAAGCGATGGGAAAAAGCTGACAACCAGACGTATCTGCTAAAATTCACGATTACACATTTTCTTTATTTTCCTTAGAGTTCAATGAGTCTTGAAACTGAAATTTTAATTGAAGCAAGCAATTTTCCAATTGGTTATGTCTGGGTTGCTTATCAACACAAAATTTAGCTCACTATAAAGAAGGCTTTTAAGTAATAAATGCCAAGAACACACAGTCTGGTCTAATAAGGATGTACAGAGATACTACTTAATCAAGAAGGACGAAAACAATAAATAAACTTAGGTATTCCGCCCGGTGTAGTACTTATTCTATTTTAGACGTTTCCTACTCGAGAATATGTGCCCATCTGTATAGCAAATAAAACTAAAATTGAGTCAAAATTAGACAAAAACCGGACACAATAAAAAGAATTATTGTCTAGATTCGTTTACAAACCATTTCTTGAGTTGGGCACAACAGAATCGACTTAGGCATATAAAATACATGACTGTAAAGTTTTTGTGTGTTTTATCCTACATCAGCTATTTATTCTGATGGGAGATCCGTCTTTCGATCTACATTTTACTGTAAAGCTGGAGAATAGAGCAGAAGACATTCGTCAGTCTCATTTTAGTGCTCATGGATGAAAATCACAGAAAAAAACCTAAACCAAGGCAAGAGAACCCGGAATTAAATGTATGAGTTATTTGTCCATGTCGCTCTATCATGTTTAAATCTTACAGACAAATGAAGACTTCAAACTTAAAGGTAGCCCCCTTTTTTTGCGTTGAGGGTTGAGATCAATAAAGAGCCCAAAATATGATAATAAATTCTAGTCGTTCGACGTTAGACTACCAAATAGGTACTCGGGTTTAGGGCCGCGTGGCAAAAAAATTAAAATGGTATCGATTCAATACTAAAAAAAAATTACAATCAAGCTTTCATAGGTGGAATTGAAAAGATGTTTTATCATCATATCTCAAAACACAGATTCTGTGTACTTAACAATAAAAGTTTTCGATTTTATGAGTTAATAACAAAAGAAAAGTAAAGTATTTTAACCAAGCAGTATTTTTTTTTGGTTGAGAGTTTCGTTTGGTACTTTTTTATGGTTCAAAGTTTACTTTAAAGTTCATGTCTCGTATTTTTAACTTGTAATCATTGCACGCATACAAGAGAAAATGTCAATGTCGTTTGATAATGGTGCGGCTATACTTCTATAGTGATGGCTTTTAATGAAAATAAATCTAAACTTTTAATCCCGCATAGCAGAATAAGGCGAACTTCAATTGTAAGAACAACTTATCAATTGTTCTGGGACCCGAAAATTAGAAGTTCAATCAAAAATTTTTATTTTTAACTTATTGTTTTCTGTTGAATTTCTTTCGGTTGTTTATGTAGAAAAGTGAAACTAACAAATATTTTTGAAACTTTCTAACAAACTCGCATAGACGCATTTGAAAAGAAGTTGATAGCGGTTCCGGCTATTTGTAAAAGCTACCGAAGAATGGGCGTCAGCGGCGTCAGAGGCACCGCCGTCGATTTCCATTGCACACTCCTTGCACACAATCGTCCCCCGACGTTACGTTATGAGTCTGAGAGAGAGGGTTCTACATTGCAAACCGAAGCAGGAGCAGCAGCAGCACAGCGGAGTGGCCGGACCTTGTGCCGCTTGGCAACCTCTTCGGTGCCGACGTCGAGTCGCCAGTTTCGGTCCGACGCCGAAGGAAGACGCCGGTATCGCGAGAGAACGTGGTGCATGTGATATGCGCGACGACGACGCAGGGCAACAACAAAAACAAAAATCGTCTGATGAACTGGGATCATGGGGGAGAGAATAATGAACAATTCTTCCCTTATTGCCTGCGTCGATGGCTTGGTCTTACCATGCTGGAGGCCTCTCGAAAACGTCAGCGCCTTCGACAAGTTCGGACGCGGACTCATCTACTTCACTGCTCTCGTCTATCTCTTCATCGGAGTTTCTATTATATCCGATCGTTTCATGGCCGCAATAGAAGTTATTACGTCTCAAGAGCGGGAAGTGTCCGTAAGAAAGCCAAACGGAGAAAGGCATATCGTTGTGGTGAGGGTGTGGAACGAGACGGTGGCCAATTTAACTCTCATGGCTCTTGGATCCAGCGCTCCGGAGATTCTGCTCTCCGTCATCGAAATATGGGCTAAAGACTTTAACGCTGGTGACCTCGGTCCGGGCACAATTGTCGGATCCGCTGCCTACAATCTTTTCGTTATCATCGCCATTTGTGTGTCAGTTATTCCCAATGGCGAAACGAGAAGGATCAAGCACTTGAACGTTTTCTTCGTGACGGCAATATGGTCCGTGTTCGCCTACGTGTGGCTCTACTTAATCCTGGCCGTTATATCACCGGAGGAGGTGGAAGTGTGGGAGGGAATATTGACATTTCTTTTCTTCCCAGCTACTGTATTAACTGCTTACGCAGCCGACCGAAAGATGTACAAATACATAAAGAAAAGCTACCGGATGAACGTACGCGGGGTGATTGTTCAAGCCGAAGGAATGGACTCTATGGAAATGGGCCAGACCGAAATCGAATTGGACGACGCTCACGAGGACGCAAAACAAGAATACGTTACGATATTAAAAGACTTAAGAAAGCAAAATCCTCATGCCGACTTGGACGCTTTGGAGCGCATGGCTCATGAACTTTTATTGAACAAAGGGCCTAAATCTAGAGCGTTCTATCGTATCCAAGCCACACGAAGACTAATGGGAAGTGGCGATCTTCTGCGAAGAATCTCAGAACGCGCTCAGAGTGACTTAAGCGAAGTCAAGGCGGAATTGCAACGAGAATCAGGAGCTTCCGAGTATACAACCGGTTCGGGATGTAAAGTTTGCTTTGATCCAAGTAAATACACCGTACTGGAGAGCTGCGGCAGGTTCGATGTGCGTGTCGTTCGAACAGGAGATGTAGACACCCCTTTGACAGTACAATATGCTACCGAAGATGGCACAGCCACAGCCAACAGCGATTATGTTCCTGCAAAAGGAACACTTCATTTTGCTTCCGGCGAGAAAGAAAAACAGATCACGCTTGAAGTAATCGACGACGACGTTTTTGAAGCGGACGAACATTTTTACATACGACTTAGCAACTCGCAACCCCCTGGGGCGTTAGCTACTCCAACCCTTGCAACCGTCATTATATTGGATGATGATCATGGTGGGATCTTCAAGTTTGCCAATCGCGATCACGAGCTTGTCGAAAGTGTCGGGACTTACGAATTAAAGGTTATTCGCACTTCCGGAGCCCGGGGAAGAGTTATACTTCCCTATTGGACTGAAGATGGTACCGCTAAAAAAGGAAAGGAATACGAAGCGGCTGAAGGAGAAATAATCTTCGAAAACAACGAATCAGAGTAAGTTATTAGAGATTCGATTGTTACAGGTTCGGTAGAACATCCAAGAATACGTAGGAGAATATTTATGCTCGCGAACGGTTAATTTAGAAATTCGAAAAAGATTGTTAAAGGTGTACACCTGGCGCGGCGGAAAAACAGGTTACAAGCATTCGAAATGTGGTGCTGCAGGCCAAAGATGAGGATCCTTGATCCTTTAGATAGAGAACGTTGGAAATTAGGAGGTATTAGAAAGAGTAGGAGAACAGAGGCGCTGTGGTAGTCAGTAAGAAATAGGTGAGATAGTTACTGTAGTTCTTAGGCTTTCACGGGCGGCGTCTATCGATGCTGTGTTTTCTTCCGGGCTTTTTGGCCGTTGTTCGTGGAATCTTGCTTTTCCAGACGTTTCGCCGTTCTTTGCTGACGGCATCTTCAGTGGTGACTGGGCAGGTGCTGAGTCGAAAGTTAAGGATATGGGATGTTCTAGTTTTAGGGAAATGCAAAGATTAGCTCAGGATGGGATAGAGTGGAGGTGCGTTTCCAATCAGTCTTAGGACTGACGACCTAATCAAAACTGTTTTGTGTAGAATTTTCTATTTTAAGTATTATGATCTAAACCTCAAAATGGGAGCGCTCTTTTTAGGAAGGAGAGTAGCTTAAAGCAGTGTAACGTTTACATATCGTATATGACAGTTTTATGAAGGATCGGTAATGATAAAATTAAATAAATTAAATACTGCTATTAGCAATTGTTGAAGCAAATATTTCATCCTTATGTAAACTAGATTATTTTATTTATCTATTTTTGACTAAAATCATTCATTTTGTCTGGTAGTCTTAGTAAAATAATAATATTTTTGGTTTTTCTTTTCTTCTTTTTATGTTACTGTTTAAGACCTCTGCTGAACATCTTAAAGTTTTATATGGAATCACATACAACAAATATGTATAATAAAGTAGGAACAGTTTAGATATATATTAGAACTGATTATCCTCTCCAAAGTTTGTTAAGGAGTCCAATGCCCTTCAAAAATTGAAGGATAATAACCCTTTGACTGGTCTGAGAGCCGAAACGACATTTAATATTTTCTGTTGATTTGTTGTTCTGCCTATAAATTTGAATAGATGGGCACTATGTTAATATATAAAAAATATTGCTTTGGTTATTGCATATCGGGCAAATGCTTGCTTTAAAGGTTCTTAGTACTTTAATGTACATATAATTGTGAAGTTCATGTTACGTGTAGTTCATAAGTGTTAATATAACTTTACAAGGAGTTAATTAAAGCAAATAATGAAATAAAACTTATTGTAGCTTCATGTTACTGAATAGAGAAGATATTTCAAAGAAAAGTTAATAAGATGTATTGTTTTAATTTTTGTATTCGGAACTGAGGCAGCTAAAATGATATGGAAGAAACAGATGCACTTATGGTATTACCATTACCTACATATATAGCAAAAGAGACTATTTCTAGAAGGGCATACTTTCTGTGTCATCTAAATTTTCTTGAAAACCCGAAGAACATGTTGCTGCTTTAAATCCATTATTGCTAATGCTTCGTATTGAGAAATAAAAGAAAGTGTATGGAGACATTTACGGATTTCTTCTTCTTTTCAAAAATTATTAAGACCGTATGACGAAAAAGACTTTTAATAATCACGAAAGTAACACTTTTGGTTTATTAAAATTTTGACATGTGCATTATACTTTGATTAAAAAATTGTGTAAAGTTATCCTTTCAACATTTTATAAATTAAATAATTTTTCATACCTTAGGAAAGATTATATAAAAAATACTCATTAAGTTCTGGTAATTATTTGTTATATTGATTATAAAAAAACATTTATCCTTTATTGCTTAATTATTAATGATAAATTCTGTCCCCTTTTAAAACACGTTTTGATTCTCTACTTGGGGTTGGTTGTAATGAATGAAGTTACGTGAAACAAATTAATTAATTAATTCTTACCACCTATAAGGCAAATTAATGAAAGGAATCGTTAAAGGAAGCAAATAACAAAAATACATCAAGAAGTTTATTTACTCTATCTAGAGTTAAAACATGATTAGGCATTAATTACTACCAAGAAGTGGTTTACTTTGTTGGTGATTTTGTGGTTTTTGTGGTATATTTTTTGGAAGGAGTGTTTTCAAAACGTTTTCAATGGATAGCGAATATATGCATTTATAAATAAATGCTTTATTTACCTACAAAATTTTTATGTTCCCTTGTGGGCAAAGTAAGATATCTACAGTGGGTGATAATAATTTAATAGATTTTGCCAGCCTATTCTATAGACATGTAAATGTGCCAAGTGGCACGTTATCAATTAACTAACAATCTGCTTTTACCGCAGATGTATGAGAATCTCGTTTGGAATATTAATCTATAAAGCCGATCGCTTCGTTATACCGAGCGAATTAACGTATGGATTTACACAAGCAAACAAATATAAATAACTTCAATAAGTTCAGAGATTCATCATCATCATAAGGTTGTCAATCCTAAGACTGGTTGGACACGCACCTCCACTCTTTCATTTCCTGAGCTAATCTTCTAAAACTAGAACATCCCACACCCTTAACTATTTGCGAACAGTAATCTATCTATCTACCTCTAACCCTCTTAACTCTTTTTTTTTGCCTCTAAATTTCTCTTACTAGACCTTCATGCCTGAGAAGGTGTCCTACCGACCTAACTCGCCTATTTTTCATTGACTTTTATAGAGTCCTCTGTTCTCCTATTCCTTCTTTTCCACCGCGCCTACCGTCCATGTTTCGCACCCATACAGCCCCGCGCTCCAAACATACAACAATCTTTGTCGAATTTCTAAATTAATTGTTTACGAGCATAGAAGTGACTTCTTTTTATTGAAGGCGACTCGACCCTGCGCTATCCTCTGCTTTATATCCCTACTACTTCTTCCGTCCTGACTTATCTGACTTCCTAGATACCTAAAATCAGCCACTTCTTCTAATCTTTCGTCTCCCATCTTTATATTTGGTTTTTCCCTACTTTTTCTTCCCTTGTATACCAGTATTTTGTTTTACTTTAATTTATTTTCATACAATACTGTTTTGTCAATACCGTTTCCATTTTATTTAAAGCTATCTCTAACTCCTCCCTGCTTGATTCCGTGAAACGTAATGATTAATCTGGCCATGTAACGAATGTTTAAACAATTTTTAACCGTTTTGGAATTTTTTAAAAATGTTGACCGATTTATGCTAAAATTTTCTAATCGCACTAAAAAAATGATAAATGAACGTATTATCATGCGTGACTTAAAATAAAAAATGTGTTTATGTTTCTCTTTAGATATCAAAAGTCGACGCGCAATTTTCATTATATTCCGGTAATTTTGAATTTGCATAATCCGTTTTGGACTTAATTTTTGACAGGAAATGAATCGAAAAGTCCCAGTTCTTTACCTCCAACAATCGTTATAGACACAAACTGGGTCTGACGTAACCCCAACCCCAAGGGAAAACAGTCTTTATTGTTTCGGCATTTATCATCACCATAAATAGAGCGCCGAAAGAGCCTTTCGGCGCGACTGAAGTTTTTCCCTGGAGAAATCATTTCGTGTACGTAATTGCACGTCACAATTAAAAGAAAACGGTTTAGAAAAAGGAAAATTCGAAGATTCGTTTTGGGGTGAATAAAATGTTTTAACGCAATTTTTATAAATATTATTACGAAGGTAAGCAAGTGTTAGGTGTAGGTCTAAGGATAATCATCAACACCGTTTGTTAATTGAAAATATTTCATTAAACACCGGCTAATGAACCTGTCGACACAATTCAGCTTTTTACTGCTGAAACTGTTTTTACCAGAATGACCAAATGAAATCTAAGGATTAATTGAAATCCTTGATTTTGTTGCGAACCTTTAATTCCTAGTTCGTAGTACCTACGTATTACCTTGGCCATGTTCAATTTTATTTTTTAACTGCCTATTGAAATAATTGAAGTAAATGGAAGTGATTTATGTAATTTGCGAGTAAAGAATAATGTGGAACCTTTTTCTTTCAAACAATACAGAATTAATTCTATTGTTCTTCAATATGTTTGCAACTTATTAAGTTTATTGGCAATTTCGACTAATTTTATTACCACAAATGCTGTAGAAATGTAAACTTTGACATACAATACATCTTCAGAAGAATGTGACAGTCCTACAAAAGAACTTCAAAAGTTTCGCCGAATAAGTCCTGTTATTTAATTTATGGTTTCCTTTCGACTCTTTCGAATTGTTTTCGGAGATGGATTACTATATAAACAAACTAAATTAAAAATTTTACCTAACATGAATCAGTTAAGTAAATATATTCTAAATTCTTCATTACACACTTATTTATGATCAATACTAATTTTGAAAAATCGATTTAGAAATTTGTTAAGGTGTAAATGAGGGGCAAAAGTTTTTGAAAACTTTTCTGTTTAGCTCTCCAACTAAAACTTCATTAATTGAAATCGCTTTCAAATAGTTTAATGTTTTACAATTGTTTTATTTGAATGTGCACGAGTTTGAGGAACAAGTTCGCACTACCACACAACGAACGGTCTGATTTTTAACGAAGGTCATTATCGATCCTTCAAACCACAAAGATGCAACCCCGTAGAATGAACAATAAAGGATGGAATCTTCAGGTCGGCATTCATGCAAATCGAAACGCTTTTTTTTTCTGGTCACGAAACCCGAAAGTCGATTGAAAATGACCGAAATTCTAGCAGAAAGCAAAGGCAGTTGATAACAAAAAGAAGGAAATTGACCTGGAGTAGTGACTTCGATAAGAAAAAAGTTGAACTATAAATTTAAGATACATGTTTGTAAAAATAAAAGGATGTACAGTAGAATCCGCTTATAATGACATCGAAGGGAAATAACAAACACGTCATACTAAGCGGGCGTCATACAAAGCATAGTCTTAGAAAATAAACAATTTTCTATTTTGGTTAATTATTTAGTTTAATAGGGAGGAAAATTACAAAATGGATTTATTTATTAACAGA